TGCCTCTGTGAGAAGCTGACGTGGCAGCCTGCACTCTTGCCGGCTGGCCAGAGGCAACACTGGCCAGGAAATGACAGAAAGGAAGAGGCCTGGGGCTGGACTCCACTTCCTGCTGCCTCTCCTTCCTCACCTCTGTTTCCTCCTCTGCTCTCTGACCCCAGCTACTGACTGCCAGCTGCTTCCGTCTGAAACCACCAGCCACTCCCTAAGAGAAAGACAAGGATTTCTACTCCCATAATAAGCTGGAGTCCCGGAAACCCACAGGGGCAGTTCTACCCTTCCTGGAGGGTCCCTGTAAGTCAGCACCGACTCACGACACTGAGTTGCCTCCCTCAGTAAGTGGCATCCTTATCCCAGGAGCTTCCCTAGAAAACCTGGATAACATCCTGGATCACTTTCTGTCCCATTCTCATTCCCAACCCATCCCAAAGGTTTGTTGTCTCTACTCCTTCTCAGCTCACCCAGCTGGGTCTTCATGGCTACCGCCAACCCTAGGTTCCTCTCATCTGCCCTCCTGACCCCTCCAGTAGGTCACACGGCCAGTGTTCTCTCACACCGGTGCTTCCTCCTGCCGCAACATGGTGAACCTGGAAAACACCAGGCTGGGGTAGATGTGTGAGGCACAGAACAAGGACTGTACGATCACATGCCTATGAGTAATGCACCTATGTAGAAACTAGGGATTATGAACTGTGAGCAGGAGCGGGAGGAGGGAGCAGAAAGGGGGAATTCTGCTTAAGGGGCATTGAGCTATGCTAACGGTGATTGGAAGATTTGAAAAAGGGTATGGAGAATGGTTGTACAACTTGAAAAATGTGGTCGGCGACTGTGGGTTATACACGTAGCGATTATTGTTTTTTAACTTTCGATCGTGAATTGGGCAAAGGTTTACAGGGCAAATCGTTTTCCACGCCGGGTCCGACTGTGACCCCCCATGTGACATCCTGCCTGCATTCTTCTTGTCTAACCCTTCCTGTCTTCTGCACTTTGTCCTGGGGCAAGTGCTGTCCTTTGGGCCTGAAGGGGTGGCTTAGTCTGAGGAGTTCGTACCTCCCCCGTGTGACTACTCGCCCAGTGGAAACGGAGTCACAGGAGAATGTTCAGTTCCAGGCCTGAAGGTTGACTACGATAATCTTAAGGATTCCACCAGACTCTATCCAACCAGTAAACCTGGCCATTTATTTTAGTTTTTGTGATTTTGAGCTTTGTTTCACATTTTTCTCCCACTCTTATCTAGGACCTTCTCATATGACCCCTCTCAGCGTGGGCAGTTGTGGCAGCTGGGCACCATCTAGTTCTCCTGGTCTCGGGATTGTGCGAGGTGAGGCTCGTGTGGCCCACCATGTCCAGGGACTAATTGTTGCCATGAGTGTTTGCTTTTCTTCACTCGTCTGTCCTTTGGATGGGGAGTGTGTTAGACCAGGTGGACTAGAGAAACAAATTCATTGACACTCATATATGTGTAAGAGAGAGCTTTATACCAAAGAGCAATTGTATAAGAAAAAAAATCCCAGCCCAGGCCAGATCAAGTCCATAAATCCAATGTTGGCCCAGATGCCCGTTACTAGCCCATAAATTCCTCTTTAGACTCGCCCAGCACATGCAATGATGCCGAATGCAGGAAGATCACAGGCCGGTGGGTGGAAAGTCCTGTGGATCCAATGGCAGTGGAAGCATCTCCAGGGCTCTGCCTGCCATCAGCATGGCCCCATGTGGCTCTTCAACAGGAAGGTCAGCAGAGAGAGTGTGGGTTTGGCCTCCAGTGAGCTATTTATCTCTGTTGTGCCTCCAAATGAGGTCATCAAGCTGCAACCTGATTGACAGGCTAAAGTGCACCCCTTCACTCCTAATCCTCAAGTTGACTCAGATGATGTAACTACCACAGGGAGAGACCAACAGTTGCCCCATAGGTGGAAGCTCATAAGCTTTTAAGACTCCAGATGCTGCCCACCAAAGCAGGATGTAGAGCACTGGACTATTTTATGCCAACTGACCTTGGCGTAACTGGTAGATGTTTTGTTGTAGGTATTTTTGCCACAAAAACAAACCCAAAAGACCACCTGTCCCCATTTAACCATGGCCTCGCAGTCTGCTCCTGGACTTTCCTTGCCCATCTCTGCTCTGCACAATGCCCCAGGCTAGTTGGTCAGCGGCACGCTGGGCCACTGAAGGGAAAACAGAAGCCTTAGGTCTTGATCTTTCGGTCCCTCCAGAGAGCTACCCTGGATCCTCTTGGGGGCCTTTGGCTTTAGGCTGTCATGGGGTCCCTCATCACTCGGGTCTGCACATGAATGTCAGTACACAGGCCTGCCCCGCAGGCCCAGCTCCACTGGCCACCCCCTCGCTCACTCTGCTTCTTTCCAGCACATGGCATGTCTCCTTTCGCCAGAAAGTGGTTCTAGGAGAGCAGGGCCCAGGCTCTGTTTGGCCAACTACTGCCGCCCGGCTCCCTGGTGAACCGATCACTCAAACTCCCTGTCACCAAGGTGATCGGGCAGGGTAGAGCTGCCCCTGTGGGTTTCCAGGATTGTAACACTTTATGGGAGTAAAAAGCCTTGTCTTTCTCCTGCAGAGCAGCCGATGGTTTTGAACTGCTGACCTTGTGGTGAGTAGCAGCACCACCAGGGCTCCTTGGTAAATGGCTGGACATCAGTAGATATTTGACTGAAGGACACACTGGGCACACCCTCGTGTGGTGTTGGCTCGTTTGGCTTTTGTGCAGAGCGCACCGGGACGCACAGAGGCTCGCCCCGCAGCCTCAGTGGTGCCCGGTCCCTGGCTTTGTCTTGCACAGCTTCAAGCCCCCGCTGCCGCAGCCAGAGAATCTACAAAACATCTATAAGGGCGGCGGGAACGGTGAGATCCCGGCCAGGTAAGTAAGTCCCTCCACCTATTAGCAGGGCAGATTATCTCATTTTAGTGGGGAACACGGAGAACAAGGATCAGGGTTCTGTTTTCCCTTTGGGGGGCCCCACTTGCTGCTGACCAGTTCCATGTTCCTGACCGGGGCATCTGGACGAGGGCCTTAAAACAAGGCTAAGATAGATGCAACTTCAGTAGGAACGACCAGCATTTGACAAGAGGGCCCGGATGAACACTTGCATTGCACCGATTAACACTCCCACCGGCACTCAGGTACCTGGAGCAGCAGCCGCCCAGGCGCCGTCGACGAGGACGCGTGTGGGAGGACCCTGTCTTGGTGTGAGGACATGATTCTTGGTGGGAGCTGGGGTCGGCAAGAGAATGCTTACCCGCCAGGGGAGGAAACAGTGTGAGGCAGCAGATCCACCAGTGCAGCCGGCTGATCTGTACCTTCTTCACTGTCAGATGTGTTGATCACGGGGCGAGAAGTGTCTGAGCTGCCAGGGCTGCTGGACTGTCTGGAGTCATCAGGGGATTGGCGACAGAGCAGTAGCTAGCTGTGCCCTCCCCAGCATGGCAGCCATTTAGCTTAGGTGCTTCAAAGCCTGGTGCCACCGTAAGCCGCTGAAACAGCCTAAATGTGCCTGGGTTTTGGCATCTCAAATCCATCTCCTAGGGGGCGAGTGGGGCGGGGGGGGGGGGGGGGGGGGGGGCAGGGGAATGACTGTCAGAAAAGGGGTCAAGAATCTCATCCCTGCTGAAAGTTCTGGTTTTGATCACGGCAGTCACCTACTGGTACCTTCCAAAAAGGTTTTCCATCCCTTGCCCGTGTGGATTGCAGCACTGGGGGTGGCAGGGTAAGGTTCACTCGAAGCCGTCTCTTTAGGGATGATCCAGGCAGTGGCACAGAGAAGAGGGAGAAGACATCTGAATCCAAAGGGTACGACCAGGCTCTGAGCAGCCTCCCTGAAGAGCCGCTGCTGAGGAATAAAGATGACCAGAGCCAAACAGAAGAATGGGGGCGCTCTCCCCACACGGAAGGAGCACCCAGCATAACTACTGGTCACACATGCACGCACACACCCAAGACCGTGTTCTTCCCATTACAGTGTTCATTCATCCACAATCAACCCCAGAAACTCGTGTCCATCTGACGGGAACTCTGACCCAGCAGGGCTTTTCCCAACCTGGACAGGAAATGTTACAAGCCCAAGGCCTCTTCTTCGGGAATGCTCCCCGGTGCAGCCTGTACTTGCCGTGCGTCTGTGTGCAGGCCCGTTGGGGTGGGCCCGTCAGGCTGGGCCGACTCAAGTTCCAGATGGCAAGCTGAGGGACACAGGCCCAGCCCCAGGATTCCGGTTTCTCCTGTGCCACCCGGAAGTTCCACCCCTTCGCCGGAGCACTGACTCAGCAAAGGGAAACAAGAGCCCTCCCTTCGGGGCAGGGGCCAAGTTCCCAAAGCAAGAGTGTTGGCCAAGGGACGGTCCCCGGGCACAACTTCCCTGTCCCTCGCCCGAGCTCCTGGACACCTGTTCACCTTTGAAGTGAAAGCACAATTTGGCTGCAGGCTTTTTTCGTCGTTTTTCATATTCCCCACTCCTCCCTAAGATGATCCATTTAATCAAGAAAAGCTAGCTTGTGGGCAGGCACGTGTTAACTTGGGTGGAGAGGAGGGTAACACCCAGTAAAGACGGCAGTCAGCAACCAAAAAGCACAATCAGTTCACCTGCATGACCTAAAATGTAAACCAGTTTGGAGGTAAAGCACCGTGTAGCAGGTGGTCCATCTGAGCCAACATTCAGCCTCTCAGTGGTTCACGCTCCAAATGGCAGCCCCGGAGAACCTCAAGGTGTGGCTGAGCCTATTCTGTCAGTAGATCAATCACCAGGCCTTTGTTCTAAGTGTCCTCTGTTCCCCCCAGAGGCTCCAACATCCCTGGGCCCACTATTTCACACACCAAAGATCCCTGTTCCCAAAGCACTGGGAGGTCCCCGAGGGGCAGGGTTTGTTTCTGGCTGGGCACTAGTGAGAGGCAGGGGTCCGGAAGCGGGTCTGGCAAGGTGGCCCACACCTGGCTGACACAGGCAGGCACCCCTCTCTCTCAAGGTTCTCACCCCCACACACAACCACACTACTGGTCACGGTCAAATCGAGTAGTTTTATTTACAAACCGGAGAGGAAAAAAAAGCAGTTACCGGCCAAGGGAAAATCCCACTTAAAGAATTTTAAGGTAACATAAAATAGTTTAAACTTCTGTGTGTAAAAAGAAGAGTAAATAATCACTCTGCTGAGTTACTCTCCTGGCGGTGAGGCCACCCTGAGTGGTGGGGCCCAGCCCCTCCCTGCAGGGGCCAGAGGAAGCGTCCCTCTGTGACAGAGCAACCGAGGGCTCCTCACCTTGAACTCCGGCAAAAGCAAGCTACAAAGGGATAGCCAACTATCTAAGGCATAAGAAAAAGTGCAGAGAAAGGACAGCGGCTTACTGCTGTTGACCCGTTAGAGGGCCCGGCCACCAAGATGACGGGTATGATTCAGACCTTCTCGAGCCTAAAACGTTAATACGAATTCCTGGTCTGGGTATATTTTCCCTTGATCATGTAACCACTCAGATGATTCCAGAAGTAAGGCGCCCTGGCAAGGGGTGCTTTTTGTGGCTGGGGAAGTAGGGCGTGCTACCTTCTGCCCCGTGAAGGCTCACCACCTCACCTCTGCTGCAGCCAGCCAGCCCGTTCAGCTTCACGCTGGCTCAATGCAGCTGTGTTCTGGGCGATGTGTTCTTCCCCACCTAAGAACGTCTACCTTCAAATCCCTGATGGAGACAGACAGCTGACAGTGACTTAAATTGAAGAGACCAGCTACCTGGCCTTGATTGTGAGCAGCACCCCACCCCCACCCCCGGCTGTTACCTCATTGAACTGATTCTCTGCAGGTGGGACAATTCACTGGCAAACTTAGGGGTGTCACAGGAAATGTGTGGCCCCGGGATGGAGATTACTCACCAACCCTGCCCTCTGAGAGCATGTGGCTTACGACAGACCCTGCTGACATCAGCCGTGGGATCACAAGCCAGGGTGGGGAGGTTCTCGCACAGACCCCCACCTCGTGGAATTGCCTGGGAGAGCCCCGCAGAGCCCAGGGGTGGGACAGCAGCAGTGTCTCCTGGGAGAAGCACTAAAGACTGCCTCCTGGGCTTGTGCAAGCTTGGGGGGCTGGCAGGGCAGGGGTTTTCTGGACAGTATCACCATCATCAGCCTTCCCACCCACACAGCCTGTCCTGAGTGGCTCTCTATCTGCCACAGACATGCCTTTGCGGCTCCCAGGAAGGGCTTTGCGAGATTCCACTCCTCCAGGGCCTCGGCCAGGCTCTGAGCACAGGAGTGGGGGCAGAGGCCAGCCTGTCTCATTCTTACGCTAGCCATCAACGAACCTAAACCTCTTTGGTGTGTGTATATATATAACAACACGGAACGAATTAAGCAGCGACATCTAGAAATAAGTAATTTTCTGAGCGGTGGATATTCTCTTTTAAGCATACAGTGTAGGCGTCTGGTACAGTGAACCCCAGCGTCTCCTTCTCCGTGGGATTTTCACAGACTTCTCCGACAGTAATGATTGCATCCGGGTCATGACTCTCATCCAAGTTACTGAGGACGTCTGACGTGGTTCTACATCCTTACAACACCCCTGTGAGGTAGGTGGTATGGACCCCATTTTACAGATGGGGCCATCTAGGCACAGAAAGGTTAGGTGGCTCCTCTTGGGCTCCGTGTGGCATGGCCTGGCCAAAGAGCTTTGCTCTGGCCGTGGGGCCAGGCCGCCTTCACCTTGGTGATCCATCAGTGCCACCGTGACATAGGGCGGCAGGGCTTTCCTCAGGCCTGTTCCGGACCTAGTGCAGAATCAAACAGGCTTCCCGCCACCTACAACTTACCATCTGCTTCGGAAAGGCAAGCCAGGGGTGGGGGTGGGGCAATATTGACTCAGACAGGGTGTCTTGCTCTACCTAAGATTTCCCATGAGGCAGCTGGCTCCGCACAGACCCCTTTGGACGGGACGGTCTGGTCGGCACTAGGTGGCACAAGCCGGGGGACACCAACAGCAGAGGCAATGGCCACGGTAAGCTGAGCAGGAACACGTCAGCATTGGGGAGAAGAAAAGCCCGTGTGGACAGAGGACTCCGACACCCTGCCTGGAGCGGGCAGGCAGCCACCAAGGACACGGTTTTTGACGTACCCGCCACTGATCACAGCCCCAAGGAGCCCTAGGGCCTCTCTGGACTGGGTGGGGGCCTGGTCAGTGTGGCCTGGGCCATGCTGGGCTGGAAAATCTTGCTGACCTGTAGAAGTTGCAGCTGTAACCTGGCCAGAGCCCCCTTAGAATCTACACTGCTGTTACCAAAAATAGATATGCCAATACAGTTAAATACATGACAACCCAGTATGTCTTAGCAGGAAGTGCCTTTAAAAGCGTATGTATAGACGCTCATGCATTTGAGGACAGAAATAAAGAGGTTACAGCCCTGCCCTCTGAGACGCCCTGTAAAATGAAAGGGTTAAATGTCTTTCTAACGCCATTGGGGATGGGGCCCCCGCTTTGGGCTGGTCCTGGCCTCGAGGTGCCCAGCGGCTTTGCTCCCTCAAGGAGCCTGCCATGGGGATGGGCACATGTGCCTGGGGGAGGGGGCCCTGCCTGGGCCGCCGAGTGCTGCTGTGGTCTGCGCTCCGTGGGCCTGCCGGTCTGTCCGCCCTCCGCTCTGCACAGGAGAACATCACCTGCTGGGTCCCTTGGTTCCTAAGGCCATCTGACCGCCTGCTCTTGAGTGACATTCCAGAAGGGTCACAGGTGACATAGAAAACGATTAGTAGCAAAGTCCCTCCTGTTGGGGGGGCCAGCCGGTGGCAGGGGGCCTCGGAGTTGGGCCCTCACGCCGCCTGGCCCACCACCATCTGTTATAGTTCCACCTTGACGCCCTTAATGAAGGGCAGGCCTGTGGGCACCCGCCTCTTATACTCCAGGTACTCCTCCCCGAAGAAGTGGATCAGGGAGAGCTCCTCCTCTTCTGTCCGATCTCGGAAGAACCGCCACACCGTCAAGGCATAGGCCGCCCCACACACAGGGTTGCAGAGCATCACCTGGGGGGGCAGAAATGAGCCAGGTGAGGAGGGGGTGTGATGATGATGCCAGCTCCTCCATCTCCCGTCCCCCCACCCCCCATGCTCCTGGGGTGTCCATGGTGTGTGACACAGGTCCTTGAGAGGCAAGGCCCACTGGCTCCCACCCACTGCTGCTCCTGGATCAATCATGAAAGGAATGTCAACATTTGGGTCAGGGGGACTCAGGTGGATGGTGGCTCCTCCTCCCAACCCCTGGGTGAGTCCCCCGATGACATGGAGTTCTGTCCCTGAGCACGCACGCTGCCTTCCTGCCCAAGCCTCTGAGCTTCTGCACATGCACCACGGCCCCTGCCCCCTCAGGTAGGCCCAGTGCCTCAGCCCAGCACTCAGGCCCCCCAGCGGCAGCGCCTGCTCTAGTGCTCACCGGGTCCACCAGGAGGCAGGCCACAGTGCAAGAGTCCCCCCAAGTCAAAGCAACTCCTCTACCCCACCTTGCCACCTCACTCACCTGCCTCCTTCCGGGCCTCCCGAGTCCCCCAGGCTGGTGTCTCTTTCGCCAGGAGGTAGGCCACTGTCACCCAAGGCCAGGCAGACCTACCTGTCATCCACCTCTTCCTCTTGACCACAGCTAGCCAGTGCTGGCTGGGTCCCCAGCACCAGGCAGGGGGCCTCCCCACCCATCAGATCACACAGCCCTCTCAGCAAACTGGATGATGCTATGCTACCTAAAGGCCTTGTGGCTTCTCTAGGGAGGTGACAGCAGGTGTCTCATTGAAGAACTCAGGGACAGCCAGCTCTGCCCTTCTGTGTGTGGCTACCTTGATCCCTTGCTGGGGCTTACCTCTCTCGTTCTGTTTGTCAATAGGTACATGCGCTCCCTGTCACTGTTCCACGACAGGTGACAAGCTCGAGCACGCCCTTGGCCTCATTAATACCGAGCTCTAGTGAAACTCAGCCGGTTGGGCAGTGGATATCCCTGCCCTGAGTCCCTGGGGTGCTGCAGATGTAGGTTAAGAGGGCGGTTGAGAAGGGGTACCGCAGAAGGAGTCACACCACCAAGAATAAACAAGTTTAGGACATTCATCACAGTGAAAAATACCCTTGACCTGATGTGAACTTGATTATCATGCGTTAAAATTCACAGCAGGAATATCCAGGTCAGCTGGCATAACATAGCCCACAAACAGAACATTCATTCTCCATTGGCCAGGAGCAGCCGGGGTCCTAGACGCTTACAAGCGGCTATCTAAGCTGTGCCGATGGCACCTCTCCTTGGCTGGAGCAAAGAAGAATGAAGAAAATCCAAAACTTCAGGGAATGATTAGTCCAGGGGGCTAATGGACCACAGGACCCACAGCGTCCATTCCCTGAGACCAGAAGACCTAGATGGTTCCCAGCTACGATGACTGACCACTGACCAGGATCACAATAAAAAGTCTTGCACAGGGTGGGCGGAGAAAAAAGTGTAGAATAGAATTCAGAACCATTAAACAAGGCTGGACTGTATGGTCTGCTAGAGGCTAGTGGAAGCCCTGAGATTGTGATCCCTCAAAACCTATAGCAACTCTATAGGACAGGGTAGACCTGCTCCCACACCCGCACACCTGCACCTCCGAGTTCCCGAGACTGTGTCTCCCGAGGAGCGGCGAGTGGTTTCAAACTGCTGACCTTGCAGTGAGCAGCCCAACTCCTATACCACTGTGCCTCCAGGGCACCTCTGAAATGGAAAATGTTCCTGGGGAATCCATGCTCACCCAAGGAACAGTTGGGCTTATAAACCCCACCAGGAGAAAAGTCCTCCCCAGTGCAATCAACCCTAGGAGACCAAGCGGGCAGCACTTTGCCCAAAAGCCATCTCAGGGGACAGGAAGGTTCAGGAAAGGACAAGGAGCAGAAACAGGAAACCCAGGGAGAAGCGGGAAGAGAGCTGCTAAGCCGAATGGAGTGCAGCCAATGCGATGTAGCGAGGTGTGTGTCACCGGTGGCAGGGAAACTTCATTTGCTCTGCAAACTTTCACCCATAGGACGACAAAAGATTTTGGGTTTTTTGGAAATCTCATGAGAAAGATGCAAGAGCTTGACTGATTTAAAATAAAATCCAAAGACAACAGCAACTGTGAGACTACCCTGAACACCACCGAGGCGTACAGGTGAGAAAGCGTACGGGCGTGACCTGGACAAGAGTAACGTCTGCCCCCGGCGGGATACTCTACCTGGGTCCCGATACTCCAGTAAAACCATCCGACGTAGGACGGGTGCCGGAACCAGGCGTACACGCCGCTCCTCACCAGCGTGTGGGTGTCGGACTTTTCATTCTGCACCACGTGGTTGAAGTTGGAGCCGGCGGTAAACATGGCCGCTTTCCTCAGGCACTCCCCAAAGATCACCATCAGCAGTCCGGTGACGCTCAGCCAGGTCACCTGCTTCAGCTCTGCGGGGGAAGAGACACCAGTGACCCACGGAGAACGTGGCAGCCTTTCCGTTAACTCTACCCAAGGGGACCTCTCTCCCCAGAGGTGGAACCCCTGGAAACCAGCTGGGGGGAGGGAGGGCAATTAGCACATGCCATCACCACAGCGGCACACTGAATGATAAACCAGACAAGGTCCCCAAGTCGTGCTGCTCACCCACTGACTTCCAGGTGGTGCCGAGGTGCCAGGGGCTGTAAGAGCATCAAGATAAAGAGGCCCTGCTTTCTGGACCATGTCCCCTACCCACCACCCCCAGGAGTCCTAAGATACAGCTAAGTGAAGCAGACAATACTAATTAACAGGTGGGTGGTCTGCCCCCCCCACCCTACCCCCCCGCATCCCCGCTCTGGGGCACCTTGAAGAAAGACTGGTGACTGCTGGTGCTGGGTGGCGGCACATCGATTTCTGATTCACAGCTTCCCTGTGCGACAGAGTGGAACTGTCTGTAAACTGCCCATAGGGTTCTCTGAGCTGTCCTACTTCCATGTGCAGATCACCAGGCCCTGCTCCTGCAGAGCCGCTGGGGGTTCATGCCGGCAGCCCCTGCTTTGTGCTGGTAGCTCAGTGCCATCTGGCCGCCTTGAAAGCGTGCAGTCAAGAGAACCCGACACCTGGCAGCTCCGCTCGAGAGCCGGAAAGTGACCGGAAGGCCGAGTGCTCTCTGCCCTGGGAGCCACACCACACACACTCCGTTTCCTGAGCAAAGTTCGATTCCAGAGCAGGTGCCAGATGCCGAGGTTGACTGCTAACAAAATCTTCCCATATTATGCCTCACGTCATGCAAACAAGTCCTCTGGCTGACTGCCACCTAAGAGCGAGCAGGTGGGCCCTCGAGGGCGGAGCAGAGCTGCCCAGTAGGGTTCCCAAGGTAGTTTGCCCTGCTGACCTTTTGGTTAGCAGTCGAACACTTCCCAGGGGCCCACTTCAAAAGTCACAGGCGATCCATGTCCCCAAGCCTCTGCTAACCCTAAAATTAGGGTTCTAACTACTGAGTCACGGCGGTGTAAAGTGACACTAGAAGTTGTCCCCCGTCATAGGAGGTTTACAGCAGAAGGTCAGCCCGTCCTCACTTCGGGATCCGTTTCTAGTTAGTGCTCATCTTTTATAAAGAGCTTAGCGAGGAGGAGGTCTGGGGCGACACCACTCAAGGGGATTAGGCCTGAGGAGCAGCCAATGTCATTGCCCTGGCTCTCCTAGAAGCCGTTGTCCCCACCCCTGCCTTGCCCCGCCCTCTGGGGGAACCAGGCACACCAACCTGGCCAGAAGATATTTTCGAGTGTGAACTCTATCCAAGACGAAAGGGCAGCTACGGTATACTCCAGACTGTGGTTCAGGAGAAAGGAATCCAAGGACAGACTTTTGGGATTGTTGACTGCCGTCACTAAGTACTCCGAGTAGTGGAACAGTGACAGGGAGCACATGTACCTATTGACAAACAGAACGAGAGAGGTAAGCCCCAGCAAGGGATCAAGGTAGCCACACACAGAAGGGCAGAGCTGGCTGTCCCTGAGTTCTACAATGAGACACTTGCTGTCGCCTCCCTAGAGAAGCCACAGGCCTTTAGGTAGCATAGCATCATCCAGTTTGCACAGGCTTTTTTTTTTTCAGGGTTGGTGATTTTGAAGGTCATCAGGAAGGAGGATAAAACAAACAAATAAACAAACAGGTGAGGAAGGCCATGTGGGCCCTTCGTTTGGCCTTTTTATAGGGACAACACACACGGTGAGCCATGCGAGAGGGCTGCAGGGATGCTGCAGGGATGTAAGCTGAGTTCAAAATGTCAACATAACTGAAATCACTCCAGCAAGGCTGGATGAAGTGGCTCGGAGCATTGCTAACAGGAGGTGAAGCTGTTTACCTAGAGACCACTGGTCCCTGTCCAGATCGGGACTAGAATGCCCCAAGGTCTGAAATCACATGGAGGGGGCTATAATATTTGTGACCTACTTGAGTGGTTATTGGAGATGGAAGGGCCTATGAATGAAGACAAGCTGGAGCCTTGTCCCTTCCCTTTGCCAAGGATGTAGTCGATTCCGGGTAGGGCTGCTCACCTTCCTGAATGCTGTCCCTGCAGCTGCAGCGCAGAGAGGGCACCTGTTAGGAGTGTGCCAGGGAGACCCACGGGCAGGAAATTGCAAGTCTGAGATGGCAGAGTCCAGGTGGAAACAGATCACCTGTTTCCACGGAATCCTGACCTGCCTCGCTCAGGCAAAGAGGACACTGGGAGATGGCTGGAGAAGCGGCAGCTGACCTTCTGATCCAGCCACCCTCTCCTCAGAACCATTATCCCCAAAGTACTGCTTACCAGCCAAAGTGATTCCAAGAAGACTGGCTAAAACTTAGCAGCATGCCGCAGCCAAAGACAAAACCGAGGAAACAAGCGCGAATGGCTATCTGAAATAGACCCAAAAGAGCTCCGTCACCAGGCCATTCTGGGAGCACAGAACCAGGCTGCTGGGCCTCCTGGGATAAGCTGGCCATTGCAGTCACTGACAGCAGATTTGCTCCGAAGTTAAGTGGCGGAAGCCAGGCCAAGCGGCCTGGATTCACCACCAGCCGGGTCCCTCTCACTAGCTTGTGGACTTGGGCAAGTTACTTAACCTCTCTGAATCTGCTTCCCCATCCACAAAATGGGGCTGATAACAGTACTTACCTCACAGCACTGCTGAGATTGTCTGCATGAAGCACTTCGAAAGTGCAACGTGATTTTTCGCGGCCATAACTATTATTGCTACTACTGATATTATTCACGGCTGGGAGAAGATCCCGGAAAGCCCCGCGTATTGGTAGGATCTCCCCGATCTTTTTAGCAGACCTGACCATGGCTCCACACCCAGCGCCCTCCGTGGGCATGCGGGGGCCCTTTGACCTCGGGGGTGGCAGCAGGCAAGGCTCCACACCTTAAATTACATAAAGGACCTAGGACGCTGCCTCCTCCCCATGCCAGCGCATCCGCCGCAGCCGCGGGGCGGCACGAACTGCCACGACCACCACCCACTCCTCGGGTGGACGGGGCTCCCTGCCCCGGACGCCTCCAGAACCCTGCGAGGCGGGGTCCCAGGTCAGATCCGAACTTGCGGCTCGAAAGCACGCCCAGGCGAGGAGTGCCCTCTTCGCGGACCCCGCTCCCAGCAGCCCCAGCCCCGCGCGAGGAGGTGCGCGGTCCCCGCCGCGGTCCGCGACCCGCCCGGTCCGGCCCCCACCTGGTAGCGCGGCGGCCGGTAGAGCAGCAGCAGCAGCGCGTTGAGCCCCGCCACGTAGAGCGCCAGCCCGGTGCGGCCCTGCAGGCCGGCGCGCGTGAGCAGCGGCAGCGCGAGGACCGAGGCTCCCAGCAGGAAGGTGGCGAGGCTGAGGCGCGCCTCGGAGCCCGGCGGAGCCCGCGCCATGCAACCCGCCATGGCGCAGGGCGGCGGACGAGCGGACGGCGGCGGTTCCTGTAGCCCGGGGAAACCCGCCGGGCGCGCCTGCGCACTGCGCCATTGAAGCCGCGCGGGGAAGGGCAACCTGCCCGCAGCTGCGCACACGGAGAGAGTTCTCGCGAGACTGCCTCCCAGCGGGGCCGCTGGCCTGAATTTGGCGGGAGCGCCCCGCCCCGCTTCGTCCCGGTCGCTCGTCTTCCGGGCACTGCTGACCCTGGGGGAGCGGCGGTGGAGTGCAGGCTGCCTTTGGGCCCAGAACTCACCGCCAGTATCTGCCCCAGGTTTGCCCCAAACTGAGTTGTTTCCGTCCGAAGAGACCCCTTGAAATGGGAAGCTGCCCCTCCTCGCCCCCGCTCACCCAGTTCCCGAAGCCTGGCACCCTGCCGCACGCAGGCGCGGACCGGGTAGACTTTTCCTGCCGCCCCCCACGCCCCCAATCTGCGGACCCTCTCCGGCCGCGCGCGGGGCTCCCTGGGTGCCTTGCAAGCATCCAGGCGAGAGCGACCGCAGGTCGTTTAAAATCCGTGCGCGCACACCTACGCGGGTTTTCAAAGACGGACTTGCAAAACGGGGATTGGTTTGGATGGCGGAGCGGGCAAGCGGGAATGCATCGGCTCAGAAGGTTGATCGCAATATACGTAAACACCGAAGTTTAACAGCACGCTTCTTTAAACAGTAGAACGCTGGGCTCCGTTCGTTTTCCCTCTCTGTTCTGTTCCACCACCCCCACCACCCCTGTAGATTGCCTACAGCGAACATCTGTTTTACCATCAGAAGTTGTTCTTTGCAGTTTTAAAGGGACCCGTGCCCCCGGAAGGTCACCGAACGGTGACGAGGAAGAAGTCGCCTAAACAGGTGGCTAAACAGTCGCCTTCCTGCGGCTGAAGGGCTGGAGGAGAGGGGAGACCCGCTCAGAGGGGCAGCACCGAGGCCAAGGAGGCCGCAGGGAAGAGTGCAGCCCTGGGACCCATGGGGCCGCCTGCCCCCGCTGGAAACGAGGGCAAGGGCGTCCGTCCACGCGGAGGGGGCACCGCTTTCCAGGAAGAGGCGGAAGGGAACCAGCCCGAAGGGGTTAGACAACTGGGCTGAGGGATGGATGGAAAGCCTGGTTGGCATCCTAGGCCCCCATGCCTCACTTTGCGACCCCGGACAATTAAATTCTAGGAGCCTGGGTTTCTGCAAAACGGAGCTCCCGTCATAAAATGTTGTTGTTAGGTGCATGGAGTAGGTTCCGGGGGCGCATAGAGACATCAGACAACAGAACCAAACTGACGGGCCCGAGCCAACCCCACAGTTGTTCTTAATGTCTGAGTCCATTGTTGTATCCACTGTGTCAATCCATCCTGTCCAGGGCTTCCTCTCTTCCGCTGCCCCTCTGCATGCTATTCTTCCATAAAGTATTCTAAGTACTTTCCACAAAACTCCAAGACACCAATGTTCCCTAATAGAACTGCTCGGTAGGGTTCTCTTGCTTGTAATCTTAAAGAAGCAGATCACCAGGCCTTTCTTCCACAGAACCCCTGTGAGTTCAAACCACCAACCTTTCTGTTAGTCATCAAGCAGAAACGTGGCACACCCTAGAGACCTCAAAGCCAGTGTGGTGTCTAAACGGTGCTTGGAAGACGTTTGCTAAAGGAAGGTGATGGCAAATGAAAGAAAATGTAATGTTTTAAACTTCGAAGTTACACAGTTGCGACAAGTGGGTGTCAAGGAGGAATGGGGACTTTTGGGGGCTGGCCCTGCTCACCGTTTTTTTCAGGATCTTCTCTAGGCTTGGGGCCCCTGCGCCAGGATGCCATGAGGCCACTAGGGGGCACTCCTGGCAGCTTCACCCTTGGGAGGGAAGCTGGTCCAAGGATGGAAAATCACTCCCCTAAGTTTCTCCTCTGCATTTTATTCTTGCCCTCTCTGCTCTCTTTGGGCCCCCCTTGCCCACAGTGACCGTCCCCTTTCTAGAGGCGTAGACTAACCCGGTCGTTCAGACTGGAGACCTCGAACCTCGTCAACCCCTCACCGTCTTCTTCAGCTTCATCTGGGAGTAGAGAAGAGAGGGGAGACAACCTGGGGCCAAATCGGGGGAGAGGGCTGTTTCGACGTTGCCTGTGGCACCCAGAGAAACACGCGAGGCACACACTCCTGCAGAGACAGACGGAGACCTTTCGAAATTTGACCGAACAAATCTAATACGCACCGGTTTTTCCTGTGTGGAAAGTGCAAGGCTTGGGGGATAGCAAACCCACAAAAATATAAGGAAAAACATAGCTCTGCTGACAGGGGCAATCCTTGCGGGCCTCTCCTTCTAAATAAGCATGTGAATGTGTTTTGTTCTAGGAGCTGCAAGACCGTCACAAAGGGAGCCCTTTATCTTGCAGGAAGATCCCTTTGCAGCCCCCCTTCCAGCCCTGCCCCCCCCCACACACACACACAACCTGCTCACTGGGAGAGGTGGCTTTTCTTAGGGAACCCACGTGGGGACCCCTCCTGTTTTAAAGCGTGCTAACACCTGCAAGTTAAACTGCAGGCTAAATTAGCCTTCCTTTTCTTAAAAAGGAGCCCTGGCAGCCAAGCTGGTGGTACTGGGCTGTTAGCCTCCAGTTGGTGGTTCAGATTCAGGGGCCACTCCCCAGGAGAAAGATAAGCTCTCTGCTTCTGTATAATCTTAGAAACTTGAGAACAGCCACCTACGGGGCAACTGTTGGTCTCTCCGCATCTGGAGGAAAGAAGAGTGATGAAAATCGAAAGATGTGGAAACATTTAGTCCAAGGAATGGATGGATTATTCAACATTGTCCTCCATAACCCTGAGACCAGAAAAATTAGACACTGCCTGGCAACCCCTACCAATTGCTCTTTTAAAAAAAATCACATTAGAAAGTCCTTGGTAGATTAAGAGACAAATGTGGAACAAAACCCCAAGTCTTAAGAGAGACCAGGATTACTGGTCGGTCGGATCCAGACTGGTGGACCGGCCCCTCCCCCCTCCAAGACTGGCCTTTAGTTACCCTTCAGGTCTGGAACAGAACTCTCCCCATCATCCCATGGGGATAATCAACCATGTAAGATCCAAAGGGTAGCATTTCCCCAAGGACAAAGGACCAAGTGTTAGGAAAGAAGGGATGGGAACGGGAAACAGGGAGGAAGTGGGTGAGTGAAGGGCTTGTCATCAGTGACATGGACGGGTGGGTGTAAAGCCGATGATCCGCGTGCTCGCCACATCTTCACCTAATTCACAAGAACAGGGTTTAAAAAACGGGTTTGTGGTCTTGGGAACCCTTCTCTGCCCTATAGGGTTGTTACGAAATAAAATCAAGTGGGTCACAGTGGGTCTTTGGTTTCTTAAAAGGAGCCCTGGTTGTGCAGAGGCTAAAGCACTTGGCTGCGAACCTAAAGGTAGAGCAGCCATGACAAGCAATCAGCTTCTACGTAACAGTTGTGTCCTGTCCTTACGGTGTGACTCTGAGTTGGAATTGACTCGATGGTAATGTGTTGGGGTTTTGTTTTCTTTATAAAGAGGAATCTTGGGGGACATCTCAGTAGCTAAGTACCCACTACTGACCAAAACGTTGGCCGTTTGATCCCCGGCTGCTCCACTGGAGAGAGGTGTGCAGGCTGCCTCCATTAACATGCACGATCTTGGAGAGCCTGTGGGATTCGTGGCCATCAAGTGGACTCCGGCACACAGCAACCCCGGGGAATAGAATACACCTGCCCCTGTGGATTTCCGAGGCTGGAAATCATGACGGGAGCAGAAAGCCTCATCGTTTTGAGCAGCTGGCTGGCTGAGGGATTCAAACTGCTGACCTTGCCTTTAGCAGCCCAATGCCCCCATTAGCCACCAGGGCCTTCCCTATGGGGAGAGGGGGGTAGTTGTAGTCTAGCCAACAGTGTTGCCAGCACTCAGAATTGACTACAAGGGAACAGATTGGGTGTGGGTTTTTTCATGAGGCTGCTTTCTGTCAAGTAAGAGTTCCTGAGTAGGACACATTGTAAACGTGCTCAGCAACTAACCAAAAAGTTGGGAGATTCGAGTCCATTCAGAGGTGCCTGGGCAGAGAGGCCTGGTGATCTGCTTCCAAGAACTCGGCTGCTGAAAGCCCTAGGGTGCACAGTTCTCTGATACGCATGGGGTCACCAAGAGTGGGTTCTGACTTGGAGGGCAACTGGCTTTTCTATCAAACAAGAAAGAGTGTGGAAAGTGGATAGGCCCCAGGCGGCCAGGAGGTAGGACAAGGATGAGCCCTCTGCTCCTCTTTCTGTAGCTGGAGAAATCAAGTACCTCCTCTTGAGGATGGAAAGTTTGCTAGGGACACCTCCAGACCCATGCAGGCAGAAGTCAAGGAAACTGCCCTCTAACCATCCTTTCTCACCCAATAGGCTTCTCTTTTAAGGACACAGCCCACCTGCTGTTCTCAGTCATTCACAGGCCTCTGTCTGCCTGTCTCCACGTGGGGGCCAGGAGGCCCAGTGGGAGGGGCCTGTCCCTTGTGGGAACCCTGGTCCTCTAAAGGTTTACTTCCCTTCCTCCTCCCATTCTGGCCTGGAAGCATGAAAAACCCTCCCCCCACCCCCTACACCCAGCCTGGAAACGGGTAAATGACAGTGTCATTTATGAGCACATCAGCCTGAAGTACATAAGTCATACGTGCACAAAGGGGACGGGTAAATATTTAAAGATTAGAGCCAGCTGGGGAGAGACACAAAGGGCTGGGACAATGGGGGTCTCCCTGAATTCACTCTCCCTGAGCTGGGCCAGCCGGGTTCAGTGTTGATGCACTCACTGGACTCCCAGCCTTTGTCCCCTGAAAGGCTCTCGGCTGCCTGGCTATTCTAGTCCCCACACAACTAAAGAGAGTTAAACAATCGTAGCCTCTCCAACCCCATCTGGAAACAATGGGCCTAGCCACTTCAGTGCTTTTGCTGTGTCCCAATAGTTAATTACACGGAGCAATCACTTCATTCCACTTTGAAATGCATCTGCAGAGGGGCATTCCCCCCTCCACC